AGCATTTACAATTTTTTTTTAAGATTAAAAAATATACACATGCCCATGCCGTTTTCTCAGCTCACGTAGGCTTGGAGATAATAAAGGGTGTGGATAATATTGTATAGGGCGAGGAAAACGCCCTTATTACTGATAATATGAACGCTGAAAACGTTCCATATTTAAATTGGGCTCCACTTGTATCAACTTACGTCGAGCGCACATTTAGTACATTCAAGGCTTTTCTTCGCGAAAATCGAACGAAAATGCTGCCAGAAAANCAGATTAAAGTTTTATGAGTTAGAAACTCGAAAGGATAAAATAGTCAAAGATTCAAAGTACAAATTTTTCATACATATAATGAAACTAGTTCATAGTTTTTCTCTTTTTACTTGTAATATAAACATTTCTAAAATAAATGTATTTTTTGATTGTTCTTCGTATTTTCTGTCTTTTTTTAGTGCCTTATTATGCTTTTTTTGCAATACCTAGTGCCTTTTCCTGCCTTTTTCGCTATTTTGTTTTGCCTTTTTTGCAATACCTAGTGCCTTTTCCTGCCTTTTTCGCTATTTTATTTTGCCTTTTTCGTTATTTTATTTTGCCTTTTTTATAGGTTTTTAGGTCCTAAAAATCCGTTCCCTGGTTATGACATAACTTCCATGAGATGTTTGCTTGTTAACAAAAACTCACCACCGCATGACCGCGACGTAGACGTTGCTTATCTCTCTTTCTATCAACAGCAAACTGGATATGTTTCTACGCACTTCTACGCTACGCTCGTATACATTCGGGGTAAAAACATAAACAGACGGCAGCGTTGTTCCGGATCAACTCGGGAATTAACTGCAGTTGATTCGGATTAAGTCCGAGTTTATCCGGATCAACGCTGCCATCTGTTTAAGCTTTAACCGCGCTCTAAGGAGGATGTACAATGCTTTTGGGTATGCAGTTTTATAGCCCATTTAATTATAGTAAAATAAAGTGCAAGTTGGAAGTGGCAACAAACTACCGTTGATTTTTGGCAATTTATTTTGCTGACGCTTTTTTGTAAACGCTAGGCGGTAGAAAACGCTCCGCTCAACGCTTCTATTTAGCTAAGGCTGTTATTTGGAGTTTATCACAGCCTATAACTATGCCATGTATTGTTACTATCGGAATTTTAAGCTAAAGAAAAACACATACATATGTGTATACAAATCCCTCATTTACTAAAGGTCTGACATAACTCAAAAAATGACAATTTTGAGCAAACTATGCAGAATTACTCGTTGTGTGTAAATAACGTGCTGAAATCTCATGTAGTGTCCGCGTAAAAAAACAATATGCATCTTTTCTTTACATTTTGGGAGCAAGTCGAAAACTTTGAACACGTCAGCTGAAAAATCTCGTTTTGTTGTGACAGTATTTTCAAATATAGCTCCATTGGCTCGATAATGCCATACGAATGGATGCAAATGCCTCCATCCTGAGCAGAGGAGGAGGCGCAGAAGAGATGCAACTGACGTTCTGTTTTTGGACTTGGACCAAAACGATACGCATTTAGTACAAACTCTTTGTTTTATTTTCGTATAACAAACCTGTTTTTTTATTTCTTCGGGTTCACTAAGGAAACTTCCCTTACATATTCTACTTAAAGTTAAATACAAATACCTCATTAAACAAAATGTCTTTCAAAGGGGTTGCTATACATCGGTCCGTCCATGTCCAGTCGATGGCTTAGATCCATCTGATCTTTTAAGAGACTGAAATCCGCATCTGACATAAACGACTTGTAGTCCACTGGCGTCCAGCCACCTAATGAAATCTCCGGTTGTAGAAAGTCTCGATTTGCAGACGATTGGGAAAAGTCAGTGTCCAGAATACCATCCGCAATGGCGGCATTGAAAGCGCTCATATCGACCAAAGGTGCAGTGGATAAAGTGCTGCTGCTGCTGTTAATATCGAATTCATCGGCGCGCCGCATTGCCGTCGGATGTGCAGCAAACGGAAGAAGGGGCACAAATGGTGGCGTCAAATCCATTTTTCTTAGTGTACTTCTTCGCGCCGGCGCTGTAAGATAAGAGCGCCAACGTGGATAGTTCGAGGCTAAGTAGTATGTAGGTGGCAAAGTATCCGCAAAGTGAGTAGGCCAACTGGTGGGCAGCGGATGGTAGTAGTTCATTTTCGCATTTCGTTTGTGTGCAGCGGTTAGATGCTTTGGCATTGGTTTGCGTTTTGGCGGTACTAATGACAAAAAATACATACATAATGAACACATATGAAAACAAAGAAATACATATTTTCATTTATTCTTATTCATTCACCTGTACGAAAAGTGGCCGAAATTTTAGGTGAATTACTTCTCTTCTTGTGATGTGAACGCCACTTTTTGGCTTCCGACTCTGCGCAAAAGTAAAGCAACACCAGCATCAGCAGTAGAATGAGTGAGCTTCGCCTGAAGTTCATCGTATCGTTCTTATCAAATTTGCGGCAGAAATTTCTTATCACTTTTAAGATTCACATGCAAAAATTTCGAAATGTTTACAGTTTTTCGAGTCCTTGCTATTTGGTTTAAACCACTTCGTTCTGCGATTAAGTATGCGCCTAAATACTTTTGCTGCAATTCACGTGCGCTCCATAGCTCCGGCCAAGCGCGTTTAATTTTATGACCAATTTTAGCGTGACTTTACACCTGCTACGCAGCGCTAACGGTTTATGCATTATATGAAATGTCAAGTAGTAAATCGAATTGATATTCCAAACGAATGACAAATTAATTGGCATCGTGGTCGTTAACTCTTTGCCAGAAGTCGTGGTATGTGGTTGAACTATGGCGCTCATCGCAGATATCGAACTTTCTTTTTTACTTTTTTTTGTTATAGTACCTTTATGCAAGCAACAGAAAACAAAAAAAAAAAAACTATCAATACGGGAGTTGGCTAAAGTTTAAATATGATCTTATATAACAGAAAAAAAGATTCGACAATAGTCTTCCAATGATAAGGAACCTTATGCCGAAAGTTTTCCGAAACATGTATGTAGGTTGATCGTCCACTCAGATGTTTTAAAACTCACCTTTGTCATTTACCATGTCGAGGCAAGTGCATTCGACACTCTTATTATTATAGTAAAGAAACTGAAAATGAAGATTGTGTAAAGTTTATTTTATTTTACGGGTTAGTCACGTTGACTGTCACTCTGTATGGGGAATTTAGAGAGTCACACTTCAGGCAGAAGGGCCATTGTGATATCACTAGTGTGACCTGTAAAGCATCCACTTATTTTTCCGTAAACTCTTTACTTCGTTCCTGCAACTATGGTAGAAGTCATTAGAGGGAAGACCCTTACGTTCTTCGTGTATTCCTATTGAACAGTATGCATAGGCAAGACCGACCTCCAAGGTAATGACGTGACGAGCACGATCTTTATTCATATACAATGTATATTATACATATTTACATATAAACATTCCGAATTCCGCCAAAATGAATTTTCCCCTAGATTGTCTTAATAGTGGCCTGCTATTGACACACGGTGTTAAACTTACAGGCTCATTTCTGGAAGAAAAGGGCTTTTGTAAAAATTTTGAATTCTTCATCAGATCGAGCTGTACTTAATGAGATAAAGCTCGTTCAAATCAAAAGATGTAGACGTCAGAGATGTTGATCCAAACTGCATAAATACATACTTATCTTTGTATATTTTAGGTAAATACATAAAATATTTCCTACTTAGTTTCAAGAATATTCAAACAAGAATCAAGAATAGACAAATAAAGGGAACACGAACAAGACACATTTATTCAATAGTTTATTGAATTACCCATAGTCTTTCGGTTTCTCAAAAATTAAATATAATACCTTTAAATAAGATCAGTTCAGTTCTGAGTTATTAGTTTTATGAAATATGTAAAATCTTTGTACTAGTAATATGCTGAATTCGAGTAAAGCGGGTTAAAATTATTCGGCAACGTATAGATCTCATCTGGGCGTCCATTAAAGAAGAATGGACGTTTCAGCAAAGTCATTTTGGAGTCCTGTTGAAGTGAATTTGACGAAGCTTGTGGCCCATGTGACGCATAGCTGTTGGCAACATTCGAGGCTGCCGGTCTGTTGACTCCAGCAAGAGCAAACGGAGATGGTAATTGTGCGGGGGGACGTATACCAAACAGATTCATATTGTTGAACTGCATAGAGTCGGGAATATCATTTGGGGTGCCACCGATCTGGTATATGCTTGTAGGTTTGCCATTCGCTACGAAGTTAAGCGGTATATTCCAAATCGGGCTGATCGCGGGCAGAGCAGGCAATGGCGTGTATGGTTGTATAGCTGGCACAGGTGACTGAGAGGGAGTAAAGCCCAAACCGGGTATGAACATATACGGCATTGGTGAAAAACGCATAAAATAGATCTGAGAGTTTCGCGGATTTGATCCGGCTAAGCCAGACATCGGCGTGGAGTCGAAGTGAGAAGATTGCGCTCTTTGGTCGCCTGCGGTGCGGGGTATGGACTCGTCGTTCTCATTGCCAGTTCCGGTATAGCCAGGGTAGAGTAAATCTGTAGGGCCGAAAAACATTGGTAATGGTATTAAAATTGGTTGAGGATAGCCATAGAATGGCAAAAGCCGCGGAGTCATCAATGGAGGTAGTGTATTGCCAAACGGGCCATAAGGATTGTAAGGTAAACTAGTTAGCATTGTTGGCATTTGCGAAAAATGATTATTCGGTGTCATATATGGATTCCAAGCCATGCCATTTCCAGCAGTCAAACGTGGTTCAATCTTCAAATCGTTCAAATATTGATATGGATCACTAATGTCTTCATCGACGCCAACGGCTTTCATCATATACTCAGAATTGGACGTATCGCTGTTGCTGCTTGTTATTGTTGGTAGATGTGATAGCGAAATCATGGGTTCCTGTTGGTCGTGTGGGCGCATGTGTGACCGAGTGCTGTCTTGAGGTATACTTTGATGAATTTCTGGAGTCGGTTGTTGTTGCTGATGCTGCTGCTGCGGTTGTTGTTGTTGCAAGTGTGTTTGTTGTTGCAAGTGGTTTTGTTGTTGCAAGTGTGATTGTTGTTGCAAGTGTGTTTGTTGTTGTATGTGCTGCTGTTGTGGCAGGTGTGACTGTTGTTGTTGCTGTGTGTGTTGTGGCGATGAGTTCTTATGCGTTGATGGTATACTACCGCCAGCGGCATTTGTTGAGCCAAGCAACAGCACCAGCACGGTAAACATGAGGTGAACTAGCCTGAGGGCATGCAAGACTCTTTGTAGATGGTATAGCATATCGACGGCAATTCGAGTACTGTAAAGAGATGGAATGAAATAAAGTAGTTAAACTTAGAAATTATATTGCTGAGAATGTTGCTTCGAAAATTGGCAAAACTGCATGGTGTTCAATTCTTTTTGAATATTGCGAGGTTGATCGCAGGGAATGTAAAACTTTATTTGCGGAACTTAGGGGGCGCTACACAGTGTTTCGACTATATGACGGCAGGTGGAAAAAATGCATGGTGACAGTTGATAAGAAAAACCAGTTGGGTTTAGAGAGGGAAAAGTAAAAGTCATACATACAAAATTTCAGATAATTTATTTACACCCCCTCTGCTCGAGCGGTACACTTCAAAAAAAAAAAAAAAAAATACTGGAATCGGCGCGACACCGGCTAATCACTTTAGTTGCCTTTGGCGCTGAACTCATTAAAGCAAGTGTTCCTCTTTCAACTGTAATCAATGCCTTTAGTGTCGTGAAGGTATTTACCATTTATTTGGTATTTTATTGACTTTCAAATGTAAATGTGTAAAAAAAAGTGTGAGTACCGGTTCGTCAGATTTTGAAGTTAGACGCATGTTTTATAGAATTTTATTCAGTTTTCGAATATATAATTGAATCATTTCGTGCGACTTTAAAACAACATATAATTTTCGATTCTATTAATTTTCGATTTTCAGCCTCTTTGTACGTGATTTCGCGAAAAGAATGTTTTGAACAATGAAAAATCACAGCAAACATTGGAAGAAAAGAGAATATTTACACCAATGTAACTTTTAAGTAAAACCTTTGTTTTCTGGGAGTGGAAAACAAGAAACAAAAATTAACCAAAATTCCATTACATTTAATTACTGGGCCCACATTTTTTGCGAGTTGTAGACGTTATAGTGATCCACTCTTCCCCATATTTTATATTTAGGGCTTTCTAATAAAAGAGAGAGTACAAACAAAATTTCATCGAAATCGAATGAAATATAATGTTTCCGCCCACGAGAGTGGAGGGCGTGGCGATTATTCCATCTTCACCAAATTTCATAACTTTCAATTCCTAAGTAAAATTAAAGCACATGTCAAGTTTCAGCGAAATTGGTGCAGGTTAACTATTATTTCCGCCTGCCGCCATATAGTCGAAACACTGTGTACCATTTCGAAAACAAAATGGGCCAACGTTTTACTTTTTTCTACAGAGTGGTTCGGCGAAAAATTCTATTATTATTCATTATTATATGTCTGTATATGTAAAACCTATTTCCCCTCCATCTGCAGCAGACTTTGTACAGTAAAAGTTGATGCCTAAAACGTTGGTAGAACATTTTGATCTTCGACTTCCATTTTTAAATATTCTAAAAAAAAAGCTTAATGCTAATATAGGTCTCCTAAAACAACAATTGTGGTTGATTTAATTTCACGTATAAAATTGAATGTTTGAAAATTTTATTTCTGCGAAAAAAAATGGAATTTAGATCCACTGTGAAAAATAAATTTGTAGTTAGGTATATAATAATAATAGAGAAGAGCTTAACTCATTTTCTTTTGAAATTCAGCTCTGCGCAAAAGTCGGTAGATTACTCGGTAAAGGCTTAATCGAACTTAAAATCAATTTTTTGTATTGAATAAAATCACAAGTGAGGAACTTATTTCTATATTAAGGTAACGATATACATACATAAATATACAGTATGGGTCATATCTATAGCACGCAATTTCCAAGTGATATTGTTTGTCACTTATGTTTATTTATTTATTTTTAATTAAAATACAGTTCATTCTCTACCCATATAAATCCAAGTTTAAAACTTTGTAGACCACAAAAAAGTGCAATGAACTTTAACTCAAGTTTAAAACTTTTTTCTCAGAAGTGTTAGAATTTTTTTCAGTATACAATTGCAAAAATTACCACCAACTACAGGTAAACATGCAGAACGTCTCGGAGCACCTTTTCGTAGATACTGAATTAGCTGTGAAAATTACGAGTAGGAGGATGATACAGCTTTTCATCTTCGCAGCAATAGTCGTCTAGGAGGAGACTATGCAAAATCTTGAGTAGTAATTTTTGGTGATATAAATCGAAGCCTTTCCGGTCAAATCCGACCCTAATGAATATAAAAATGTTTCCTCTTAATTACAGGGTTCATAGAGCCTAATAATACCAAAAAAAAAAACTAAAAATATTCAAAAGTTGTTTAAGGTAGCT